TCTCACATCGATATTTTTCTCTGTCTTTCCTGCTCTTCCACTCTCTCTAAAAATCAATGGAAAAATATCCTTAGGTGAGGATTTAAAAAAGAAAAAAGCACCTAAATTCTTTTTTAAAGAAAGTACTAGAAAGCTGTGCCTGGCCGGTGTGGCTCAGTGGTTGCACATCGACCTTTGAACCAGGAGGTCACAGTTGATTCCCAGTCAGAGCACATGCCCAGGATGCCAGCTGGACCCCCAGTGTAGGCTAGCAGGAGGCAGCTGATTACTCTCTCATCATTGATGTTTCTATCTCTCCCTCTCCCTTCCTCTCTGAAATCTATATCTATATCTAGCTACTTATCTATATATTTTTTCTAGTTCACAAAGTTTTCTTTAATTCTTTTTTGGGAGGAAGGGATGCCACATTTCTACTCAATTAAGAGAAACATTTTTATTAGCACAGAAGTCTTTTTTTTTCCCCCTCCACTTATCATGCCATGAATTCATAGGGAATGGGCTCCAGCAACTCAGGCTCTGTTCCTTTGGTTCTCACAAAGTGTGCTTCTGTGGGTGGAGCAGGCTGATGCTTCAGTTGAACCCAGGTACCTTTCTCTTTGGCTTCCTTCTTTTTCTGATAATATTCCCTCACACGTTTCAGGAAGCTATCTTGGTTCTTAGAGTGCTTACTATGCTCAATACGTACATAAATTCTTTTGGCAAGATCTTGCCCTTAACTCTCTTGTTCACAACAATGCCCAGTGCATGCTGGGTGGCATTTGTGGGGCATTCCTTTTTGAATGGTGTCCATTCCCTTGATGTCCACAATATCACCTTGTAGATTTGCATGTATGTGGCCAAAAGAACAACTCCATGTTTTCCAAAAGGCCTAGAGAACATATAGCGGATGCCTCTCCTCTTTCCTTTTGTGTTAGTCATTTTGGCAAATTACTGGAATATGGCAGTTCCGGCCAAAAGGCTAAAAATATATATATATTAAAAGTAGAAAGTTGCAACGGAAATGGGAAAACCCGAGTGCACTGAACTCTTCAAATATTTTGTACACTACTATAAAATTGTTTAGTTATTTCTAATTTTCAACCCTATACTAGAAAAGCCAGCCTTCCAAATCACTTTAACTCCATGTAATATTAGAGCACTCCAGAGGTAAGGCAGAGGTGGGGTGGGGTGGGGTAGAGGGTTGACAGGGTGGAGAGATGAAGCAAAGAACTAATATGCCTATATGCATAACCCAAAGACGCAGACCATGGTGTGGTGAAGGCCTGGGGGTGGGTGGGGTGAAGGAGGTCAATGTGGGGAAAGGGGACATCTGTAATACTTTCAACAATAAAGATTAAAAAAAAAAAAAGAGTTAGCACTCCAAATCTAGAGCCAGTATATCCCTTGCTGTAAACACCTGACTAATGAGGAACAGAAAATAAATCAAACACACATAACTTACTATAGTTTGGTTCTGGAGTTCAGGGTCTCACAGATCTTTTTAAGTCCCATTTCAGTCCCAAGAACAATGTAAAAAGATCAGGTTTTCTGGGACACTCTAGGTATGGCTTACTGCTATCCAGTGCCACCATGAAGAGATAATAATCCAAGCCCAGGGTAAAGATAACTCCAATTTATCAAATGGAGGCACCATCTGGAGCCATACCAGATACTTAATGCCACCACATCAGAGTGTGACACCAGCCAGCTTCTGCAGAAATAGGACCCAGTGTTGAAGTCTGTATCAAGCCAAACTGACATAATTGCCTTCTATACTTTTTTTTTAGATGTATTTCTTTATTGATTTCAGGGAGAAAGGGAGAGAGAGATAGAAGCATCAATGATGAGAGAGAATCATTGATTGGCTGCATCCTGCTTGCCCCCCATTGGGGATCAAGCCTACAACCCAGGCTTGTATGTGCCCATGGCCAGAATCGAACCCGGGCCCCTCCGGTCCGCAGGCTGATGCTTTATCCACTGAGCCAAGCTGGCTAGGGCTGCCTTCTATACTTTCAAATAACCAGGGAGACAGGAAAAAACAAAGTGATACAAAAACAGAAATTCTTGTACATTGCCAAGGAATGAAAAGTCTTTCCTAAAAATGAGCACTATTGCTGAAGTGGTACTCAACACCTCTTTTGCCATCTAGTATTTTTATCTCCTATCACTCTGATATTTAAACAATGCAATCCTAATTTTTTCTGCACTTTTATCCTCATATAGTTGATACATATCTCAAAGGCATAAATTAATTTAAAAAAATACCACAATGTACAACTTTACTCCACAAAAATGCAGACTTAATTTTTATCTTGTAACTTAACTTTTAGTTGTAAGACATCACTGCACTCGGACCAGCCTATCTTGTAACTTAACTTTTAAATCACGTATTTTCAATACACGTTTAAGTAACAAAAAATGTGTTTAGATAGAGCAGGTAAATTGGAAATTTATTTGTTCATTTATTTAGAGGGGTGAGCATCTATTTTAAGCAGTCATCTAAGGAAACTCATCAGGTGGATGGTCTCATCCTATGTGAAACATCCAGCAAATAATCTAATGGTTTTTCAAACCTAGCTCCTCTTTTCCATGGGCTTTTACAAATATTTACTTTGTTTGGGTGCTGTGTGTATTCCTAAGAAGTAATTTTTTCTTCCTTTTTTTTGTTTAAATTGGTACAATACACAGTTTATTTGGATTTCACAAGGCTTACATGCACTCCATTCCATGTACTTTTGTGGTCTCAAGTCATCGCTTGGAGGCAGCGATGGAAAATATCAGAGCTAGTTCTTCCACTAGCTATGTGACCTTGAGTAAGCCACCTTAGCCTATAAAAGGGAATAATACCTGGCCTAATCCACAATAGCAAATTATTTCATTTATATAAAAACTGAGTACTTGTTCTGATATATTTTAAGAGATATTGGAAAAGATTCTTCTTCACATTACCCCCCCCCCCCCC